TGAACTGTAATTGCCTTAGCAACCATCGCTAACTAACGATGCCCTCGATACACTAAACAAAAACCTCTTCCTAAGACAAGCCTATTTTTCTTCATTACTTTAAATTATAAACCGTTATAGATCACCCCCTAAATGTAAACAGGCAAGTTGTATTTTGCCCAGCCAGTTTGCTGATATATTTAGTCACCAGACAGTTTAATCCTGTACCACTAACAGTACTATAATTTTGTCTGTACGTGTTACTGTCTTGAATCAAATCAATTTTGTTGTAGTATTCGGATAAAAACTGAAAAATGAATAAATGTACTAGGGATTGAACCGGATCCTTCTGTATTACCAGCCAGTTGTCAGCTTGTGTTCTTCAGCTCTAAGATGGGTTGGACTTGATTTATGTTTAGAGGTGAAAAGAAAACAACAAGATGTTTGCATGGAGGGACAGTATTTTATCTCACTCTAATGATTTGGTTGGGTGTGTGTATGTGTGAAGACTCTGAATGACCCAGATGTTTTAGTTGTGATTTCACCTCTAATCAGAACCTCTGGGACGAGCAGAGAAGCGAGCGGGTGGATGCAGAACCTTTCTTACAACTAGACACAAGTTCTGTACACACATGCACACCGCACAAATAAACTGTGACCTGGATTGTTGACACATTTCAGTGCAGAATAATAGTCAGCAAATTGTGATAAGACTCATTTAAAATATTCTTAAAGCTAACTTGAATAATCACCCAAATCCTTACAGAGAGCCTGCTGTCTTTTAGGGTTATATGCATTCAAATGGTTTCGTTTGTTCTTGTTGCTCTCAACGATATTGTCATTTATTTTTAATTGTCAGAAAGTGAATTGAGAGTGCTTTAAAATTTCTTTTTGCCTTTGCAGGGTTTCCATCACCATTGGATTTGTTTGGAAGTAAAACTCTCAATGACAGTCCACAGGAGCCCTTCTGCAACCTTCCCAACCTAAAGAAGGTAAGTTGGTGAAAAAAGATTTTTAAAAATGTTTGACGGTCCCCAAAAAGAACATAATTCAAAGACATTATTGTGGCAGGTGAAGGAGTTAAATAAACATTGAATAGAATAATAATTGTTGATTTTGGCCATTGCATCACATTCATGGCATGTTAAAAGTAGTTCACGTGTCCTGTGCGAATGGCTCCGTAGTCATTTTGTGCCACCTTTATCTTGTTATTATGATATGACAGCCTGTGTGCTTATGACAGTGTTGTGATTTTATTGTTGACTGCATCCAATCTTGCTGAGGGTCTGACTCACTTAATAGCTTAATACCCTGCAAGCCCCAGAGATGAAACCACAAATGGCAGAACTGGAGAGAGATGAAACACAGCGGTGATTTGTGAGGAGGATGTATTTACTTGGTTTTATATATACTGTGGGTACGGAAAGTATTCAGACCCCCTTAAATTT